TCCGGTGTGACTCGCCGCCGTGCCGGGCAACACGTCCCCCCTCCCCGGGTGGGGTGTGTGGGGAGGCTGCCCGCGGCCGCCGCCACCCCCCTGAGTCGCCTCACACACCCAGCCGGGCTGCCTCCCGCCATGTGCCACGTTAGCTGCCGCCTGCCTGCAGGGAGAGCTCCCGCCGCATCTCCGGAGTTGTCATAACGGTGGGAGGAAGGCGAGAAGAGCGCACACCGGCCCCTGATGGGAGGCGGCTGCTCCGCCAGCCGCTGCCGAGACGGTGAACGGGCTGAAAGGTGCCTGGAGACAAAAGCCGGGCTGGAGGAAGGGCCTGGAGGTGCCTTCTTCCTACCGGGGGGGGGAAAAAAACCAACCAAACCCAAACCAACAATTAGGCAAAGATACCAAAGGATCGAAAGCTGTTATCCCCTTATGTAATCGTAGGTATTCTTGAAAACTAATCGAGGGTGCTGAGCCTAAAGTAGAACATAAGAGTGTTAGGAGAGCTGTTAGTTTAAAACTCAACCAAAAGATTAAACAATCCCGACAGATGCTGGGAAGAAAATCGGGGTGACTGGTGTAGAGTGTTGGATGCTTAGGACATCAGTCTGCCTTGTATGAAGGAAGCCATGATTAGTCTTCGTATGTGGACTATGAAAAGGGTTTTAGAATTGTTTTAGAAAGCAATTTTTATACTTGTCTGCTGTTTAAAGATTATTTTTTTCCAAGAGGAGTAAGTGCACACAAACATCACTCTAAAATACATTCTCAATTGCAAAGGGTAGGCAACCTTCATTATGCACTGCCTTTCATTGGGTGAAAGGTGAAATTCTATAAAGGATTGCCGATGCACCCTTCTGAACAGGGTGCTTAAAGGCTTATTTGTAAGGGTAATCAGGAATGCATAGTTCTACAATCATTGTGAGATAAAATAAGTACCTAATGCTAGTGCTAAAGAAAGGCGTGTCTCTTTCAGAGAGCCTAAAATAATGGATTGAACACTCATTTAATTGAGAGCATGCCAATTTTAATTTTTTTAATAAAACTTTGCAGTTGCTGTGCGTTCCAGCATATAATATTTGACCTATGTGGCTGTTCAGTGCCTTTCTAATATAGATTATTCATCACAAGTTTCAAGCTCATTAAAAAAAATGAAACTCGTATGAACTGTGCAAAATGGTGGATTATTTTGTACATGTTTATTCTGATTTGCAAATGGCTGCTGGCACTCACAGACAGGACGATTGTGAAAATTTCCCCAAGGGCCTCGATTGCTGCATCTGCTGAGATGACGCAACTCAAGAGTGAGCCTGCAGGGTGAAGGATGGTGCAGAGGGAGGGGCCAGTCAGCACAGCGTTTGCTCTTAGTACAGTAGAAGGCTTATTTGGTTAAGCAGGCTTACATGGATGCGGTGAAACTTAGCATGCATACAAGAAATATGTTTCATATCTTAAGAGGATAACATTCTCAACATTAAGAACTGAACTTAGCTGAGCAGTGTAAAATTGCTCTGAAGAATTCAGTAGAAAGCCTTGTAGGTTTTTAAATATTCAGGTGTGGTCTCAGAGTTAAAACTGGCGAATTTGCTTCTGAGCATGGTGAAAGCATTTGAGGTAGTGACATCTGTGAGACTATTTCATGTAATTTTCTGACCTTGAGCCAAGAGCGGTGATGCAAAGGTCTAAGGTAATTAGGGCCGTATATCACAAGGAAAATGATCCCTCGCATGCTGGGCTCTTGCTAACTTATGAGAACAAGGTGGGGGAGAAAATGGGATTTTGAATATGTGATAGCAGAATCGTTCTTCTCTTGAGATCAGGTCAAGCATAACTGCTGCCTTGATACAGAAATACACCTTGCTCACTTCAGCTGAGAGTATTTTCATTTCCAAGTTAGTCTTCCTCAAAATACTGCAGTAGTAGCTTTCTGACCCTTAGGGATCTGGGTGCGAGGCAGTGTTCCCTTCCCTGGTCTGGAGGTTCCTTTGTCTTGCCACTTCCTTAGGCTGCAGTGGGAGGAGTTCCTTTGGTCTAGGTTTTGGGATTTTGTTTAAATCTTGCCATCTGGTTGCTGTTTAAAACCTAGAGTTCACAGGGTCTTGTCTAACACTGCCTGTTTGCCTCTCTAACTATGATCCCTTTCTAGTTCCAGGGTTCCCTTCAATTGCTGTAGTAACCTGGGTCCGGGGCCTCGGTGGTGCTCCTGATGTCCCTCACCCACCCCTGAAGATCCCAGGTGGGCGAGGGAATAGTCAGAGGGATCACAATCTTTCAGCTAATTTATTTTATTCGGTGAGTATGAATAATAATAAATAGCTTGCGATGGTGAGCTTGAATGCATTTCTTGCCTCAAGCCTATTAATGGGAGTTATCCCTTCCCCAGAATGAATTGGAAATAACTTTGCATGTATTACTACTACAGGATAATCGGCTGAATGTAACAGAAGAACTAACATCTAATAACAGGACAAGAATTCTGAATGTCCAGTCAAGGCTTACAGATGCCAAACACATTAGTTGGAGAGCAGTGCTGAACAACAACAACCTCTATATAGAAATTCCCAGTGGTGCTCTGCCTGAAGGGAGCAAAGACAGGTGGGTAGAATAAAATGCAGCTGCAGTTCAACTTGCCTCTGTCTTGAAGGCCTGTCGGTAGGGTGGAATAACACTTTACTGTTGTTGATGTTTGCTTTCATTGTTCTGAAAGCTGAAGTCTAATTTTGGTGCTCAATGCTGTCTTGTAAGAGGCTGCAAGTAAGTGATCCTGGTTTGAGGGATGCTTCTACCTGTTTTGTGATTTCAGGCTGTGTTCTCAGGTACTGGGTGGCTACTTTTATCCACTGAAAACACCAGCCTGGTTCTGAGTCTGTCACTGCAGTTCTCCCTTCAGCTGCAACAGAAAAAGCATGTTTTCTGTGTTAACTGAAGATTTCTGCCCTCAAGTTAAACCTAGGGCTCAGGGATCTCCTGTTGGTGTGACTCTCCAACCACTAGCCTCTTGTGCCTACGAGTTCACATGCAGATTGGCTCACAGGGCCTTGCTAACTATCTCTGAAGGCAGTGCTTGCTCATGTGCGTTGAATGCCTTGTATTTGTCTTGCAGTTTTGCAGTTCTTCTCGAGTTTGCTGAAGAACAGCTTCGAGTTGATCATGTGTTCATTTGTTTCCACAAGAACAGAGATGATAGAGGTAGGTGTTAACTCATAGCACTGTCTCTAGAGATGTGAATGCAGTATTTGAAGTTGGTTTTGGTGGATGCTTTAACTGGTGGATGTACAGTATCAAATGGATGAAACTTGTTTTCTGCTTTCTTTTTTCTAGCTGCATTGCTCCGTACTTTCAGCTTTTTGGGCTTTGAGATTGTGAGACCAGGGCATCCCCTTGTCCCCAAGAGACCAGATGCTTGCTTCATGGCCTACACGTTTGAGAGAGACTCATCAGAAGAAGAATAGATTGCAATGTTTGCCTCTTAGAGCTTTCTTGTTGTCTATAAAGATGATTCTGTAGAAATTTTGTCAACATCTATTACAGTATATATAACTCTGTATGAAACGTTGTGACCAACTGCTCTGGTGGTGAGATGTTGAAAATTTCAGACTCCACATCTTTTTCTGGATTTGTGCGCATGTTGTGGTTGTGCAAATAAATGCTCCCTCCAAATTAGCAGTATATTTCTTGAAGTTTAATATTGTGTTTGTGATACTGAAGTATTTGCTTTAATTCTAAATAAAAATTTATATTTTACTTTTTATTGCTGGTTTTAAGCTGTTTAAGACTTGCACTCTGAAAGAGATGGCTCTGGAACTGCCCCAACCATTAAAGTTGCAGGTACGGAAAGGTGTTGGTCATTCTTTGCTTGGCTGGAACTCATGGTTATGATCTACCAGGACTTGAAATAATCTAGCAATCCTGTAAAAGCCTGCTTTTAGTGAAAGAATGAGCAAGTTGTCCATTTCCATTGGTAATTAGGATCACTGCATCCCTGCTCGATTAATGTTTCATAAGACAGTTCAGGGCATGTGTTAGTTGGGAAGTCACAAGTGAAATGCTGAGAAGCACAGCTCATGGCTGGCTTGAGCTTCAAGTGTCTTGAGTATCAAATATGCAACTTTGATACTTGAAGTCTCAATGTTACCAGTAACAGTGGAGTCTTAATGCTAGTGTGTGTTAAGCACATGGGATGGCTTGATGAATACCTTGGCTGTGATCTAGGAAGGCTTGCGGTGCGTCTATAGCTAAATACTGTCATTGAGGCTGGGGAGACAAATTGTGGTTGAAGTGTAAGGAGAAGGGGCAGTTGTGAAGCAGTGCCTGTTGTTGGGGTCCACAGACATCTGCTAGTCTTTAGGATACTGAACAAAAGGCAAAATGGCTGCTTGTGTAGCGCTAGAATTAACAAAACTTGATCTGAACTTACCAGAGATAAGTCTCTGAAGGGCTGTACTTTACAGCATTGTATTTCTTTTTTCTTTCAGTACTTAACACTTGCAGCTTTGGAGGCTTGTTTGGCCCTGTGTGAGCTGGTTATCTTTTCCTCTATAAAACCTTGTAGCAGTAAATCCCTGGGATGGTCTATTTTACCAGGTTGTTATGGTGTGAGTTGGTGTAAATAGAACCACGTGATCTTCATGAGTGTGTGCCCTGCCAGGGCCTGACATCCCCACCGAGCTTGGCTTTAGGAACTCTACATTGTGAAATGTGTAAGTGAGGGGGCCTAAGGCTTGCCCCACAGGTCAACCCTAGGCTGGTGTTCTGGGCTAAGCAGTACTGGAATCGCATGGAATACACCAAAATGTAACCCCTGAAACTCCCTTTTTGGAGATGCAGCAGGGAGCAGATCCCGTAGTGCGATCTGCAGGAGAAAGTAACCCATGGGGCTGTAGCACAGCCATCACCTCTGCTTCTGGCTACGCTGCAGTCCAGTGAATGCAAGAGGTCTCCTTCCCGCAGGTCTCTTGCCAATTTTTTTGTGGCCGTACAATTGTGCTCTTCCTGTGGGTTTTTTTGGAAAGCTGTGAACTTGCTGTTCTTGGTGGGTCAAAGGCCAGCAAAGAGGAGGTATGACCGGGGAGAGGGTGTTCCTCCTTTACTCAACAGGCTGGCAGAGGTCTGATGTTCATAAGCTGGTTCTCTAGAGAAATTCTTGTTTTTCTCCGTGATGCTGTGCCTGTGCTGCAGCCTGCTTTCCGCAGGGACATGCGAGAGTGGAAAGGTACGTGGTCCTGCCTCGAAGGCTGCGGTCCCCGGTAGATGTCTTGCTGACCTTGGGTGCTCCAAGCTGCTCCTGGCAGAAGGAGAGGGGGCCACCCAAGGTGGAAACCAGAAACAGGGATGCAGGGGATGCTCGGAGGTGCTGGCCTGGGGTGGGCCTGTAAGTGCCGGCAGAAGCAGGTTTTGTCTTTGTTTTTCCAGGATCAGATGCCCAAGGTGGTTTTGGGCGAGCTGCTGCCGAGGCACGGGCTTTACTGCCATCTTGTAGTCACACAAGATACTACAGGAGAGGTGGTGGGGACAGCATGGCTGGGGCTCACCCAGGACAACCCCTCCTGCATGTCGAGCTGGGAGCATGCTGCCCTGTGGTTTCATCTTGGGTGGGGGGGGTATGTGTGTGTCACAGCTCCGATTTACTAGGGTTTTGGGGGTTTTTTTTGAGCTCAGGGGCTCCTAGGAGGAATCCTCCCTGATCCAGCCATGCCATGGACTCTGGTGACTGCCTGGTGTGCCGCTGCACACATCCATGGGCATGCCAGGGCTGCCCCAGCCGTAGCTGCGGGGAAGGTCGGGACGGTCCATCCTGCTGTGTGCACAGTGCACGGAGGCTGCTCTTCCTGCTGTTGGGTGATAGCTGTGAGCGGATTAATAATTACTTAATTAATAATAATTTAAATGACCCGAGCAGGGCCTTGCATGGTGCTTCGCTGTGATGGTCTCTTGGCACCCGCATGGGTTTGGGGACCAGGGCGCAGATCCCGTGTGGTGCTGCGTGTTTCATACCAAGCAGCAGATGCAACGGCCCTGCCTTGGTGCAGCCAGAGACCGACCCTGCAGCCTTGTCCCTGGGTGCAGCAGCCGTAAACTGACCCGAGCTATTTACTAGACGCCATCGAGGCTGTTCTGGCTAATCACCACTGGGCAGTGAAGTTTGGCTTTGTGTTTCTCTCTGGATACATCACTGGGGTGTGTAATGCTGTCAAAGAAGCAAATAAAGGACCAGTATTTAAGAGGCTCAGCTCTGGATTTTATTGAAGCTGTGTGGCTGCTGTATTTCCCCCTTTAAAATGTCATTTATATTTGTGACTATGCCACAAATTGTTTCTAAAAAGAGCAGGCTGTATGAGGTATTGTATTTCTCCTTTGCTAACGGTGCATTAAGGTGAACTGTAATGTGTGGCTTTGCATTGTTACTTAAAACAGTGAAAGCCTCATGGCCGCAGGAGGGGTCTGAGGGGGTTTTGTGCGAAGTCTAAGCCCCATAAACGTTACTCAGGATAATCAGCCACTAAATTGGCGCTTGATCCTGTGGCTTCCATCCAGCCGTCTTTCCTGAGATGCTCCAATAAACTAGATTCACAGTATCAAACAAAAATTGGTTGAGGGTGTAAAAACACATCCTGCATTGTGGGAGCCACGGGTGGGAGTTTGGTCCCAGCTTCATCATTCATGTGCTGTAGGGGAAGCGGGTTTGGGTTCACAAACAGTGTTTTCCCAGCCAGGACCCTTGGGTTCCTTGTGAGCTGGTGGGTTTGCCCAGGTCCTCGTGGGCTCTTGGCTTCGAGGAGACCTTTCGGGTGGGCTGAACTTCAGCTTGCCTTTAGGGAGTGTAGAGAGCCTGGGTGACTTGGTAGAGCGTGTGTTCGGTGACCTCCTTGAAGTACTGGCAGCACAGCCACTCCTCGAGGCTGGGGCTCCCCACCACCCCAGCCGAATTCTCCGCAAACTTCAGGAGCAGCAGAGCCCTCTTCACCTCCACCCAGCTCCGGAGCAGGGTGAGGGTTTTCTTGCTCCTGGCAAAGAGCTCCTGGCGAGGCCCCCAGAGCAGGACCTGCAGGATGCTCCTTGCCTGCTCGATGGAGACCCTCTTGCAGGGATCTCTGTGGAGAAGCAGCATGGCCAGATGCTTGAGTCCAGTGGAATAGATGGACCGGGAAGGGATTTCAGGAAGTCTATTGCTTCTGAACCCCAAGGCGTTCTCCAGAGAGATGTCCACATGCAAGATTTGATAGATCAGCATGCCTACATTCAGCTCATCTGCCACTGGGGAAGGTGGTACAGCAAGCCCCTTGGTCCAGTCCTGCTCTTGGCTGGTAGAAGAAGTTCTTCGCTTGTCTTTAAGCTTGAAGAAGCTGCTGATGAGCAGCCTTGGAAGGGACAGCCCCAGGGATGCCTCCTTGCCTTGCTGGCTCCGGGGAGGACACGGGCACTGCACCAGCAGCAGATTCTCGGGGCAGAGGTCCCCCTGCCCCACATTCTGCACCCGGAGATGCTCCAGCCCCATGCATACCTGCAAGAGGAGGAGGCAAGCCAGGCGTTCGTAGTGCCCAGGGCTGGTCCTGTGCAAACCGTGGGATCCCTTCACAAAGCCTGCCAGGGTCTGGTAGGGAACCTCAGGAGAAATGAGGACCTGCAGGACAGGGCGGGTGGCAAGACGGGCTGGGTCCTCTCTGGAAGGTGATTGTTCCCCAGGGCTTCCCGGGAGCACCAGCTCCTGAGGGAGGCGGTCAGTGAAGCGGCCGACCAGGTGCTGGATGCTGCAGTGTGCCCCAAGGGAGCTCTGCACTCCCAGGCTGGTGCAGCACGGCTTGGGGACCTGCAAGGAGAGACAGGGCATGGCCAGCTGCGCCAGGACGGAGCCACGGGGTGCCTCGTCCTGGGCCGGGCCACCAGCCCTGGTCTGACCCACGCACGATGCTGGGCTCCCACCCTGCACGCTCCGAACCTGCCAGAATGGCTTTGAGCGAGACATGGGAAAGGAGACGGGGGGGTGTAACCTCCAGGTGAGCTGCAAAGCTGCTTTGATGGGTCTCATCCTGCACTGCCTGAGGAGCCAGCTCTGCTCCAGGCTCTACTTTGCGTCTGCTGGCCCCTCAAGACCACTTGCCAGGGCAACTCTCCCCGTGGTGCCATTCGCCTTGACGTGTCCTTTGGACCCGTGGGAGCTGTTGCCAGCAGCGCTGTCTCATTTAGCAAATGCAGAAGTAGGTGCAAAAAGGGGAAGTGCCTGCGTGACGGGCGGTTCAGTGGAAAAGTCAGCGCTCCCAGTTCATGCTTGCCTGTAGCACCACAGCCCCCCGTGCTGCAGGAGGCCAGCTCCCTCTGCACCACCCTGGGTATTTTCCCCAATTCCCTTCTTACCTTGGCCGCAACCACCAGCTGGGTTTGCTCAAAAGCAAAGCCCACTCGGAAATACCAGGCATCCCTGCTTTCGCAGCATGGCTCCCGGTCCAGGATGCTGAATGCTGCCCAGCTCTTCCCTGCCAGCTCTGCCTCCAGCAGCTGCTGCTGCTCCTCCGGTCCTATGAGCTCCTCCTGGATTCGAGCCGAAAGCCGGGCCAGGGCAGCCGCCTGGCACCCCAACACCACCCCGCACACCCCGGCAGGGCTCTCCAGGAGCTGCAGGAGCTGCCCCAGCTCTCTGTCTGCCATCCCGAACGTCAGCTCCGCCAGGCTGGGCAATGGGTTTTTTTGCAGGCTGCTCCAGGCCACCGATTCCCCCAGGCTTTGGGACTTGGTCAGGGGCTTCTTAGGGCCCCAGGAGGGTCTGTCCCATGGTGGGATGGAGCTGGGAGCCCCCTCCCCGTTTGGTGGGATGCTGTAGAGGATGCTGCTGGCCCATGACGTGGGATTGTTGCCCCGATGGTGCTGGGATGGCCCCTGCTCCGGGAGGGACTCCGCTCGCTGGAGCTGTTTTTTTGGCAAGGGGGGAGGCAGGGGGTCTCGGTTGGGCTGAGAGAGGGGTCTCCCGGCTCCTTCCCCTCGGCTAGCCTTGCAGGGGACGAGGTGGGCTCGCAGCTCTCCTGGGGAGGGAGGAAGAGACACAGCAGGGCTGAGACTTCCCTGGGAGGGGGGGTGTGGGGGAAGAAAGTGGGAGATGGACTGGGACGGGAGTACAAGCACGTCGTTATTTGCCCCGCTGCATATTTCCAGCCCCAAAGAGATGCCCAACACCAGAGGGGTGATGGACGGGTATCGCGGGAGGAGGACGGGGACGGCGGCGAGGTTCGTCCCCACCGACTGAGCCGACACCTCGGCGGGCAGGAGGACAGCGGGGTCGGGGCTTCACTCACCCACGTTGCTGTAGATGAGGGCTGAGTCGGGGCGCCGAGGCGGGCAGCCCCCCGGGGTGTTCGGCATGGGGCCAGGCAGTCCAGGGGCACCCAGGTCCAGGCTGCAGCTGCGGGTGCGCAGGCTGCCCCGTGCCTGCATGACAGCCCTGCACGGAGCCAGGAGTCAGTGCTTGCCCCCCCCCCGGGGGGGGGGGGGGTGGTGTCTGGCTCCTTTCGGGGCCGGCTCAGGGGAAGAATAAGGAGAAAGGGGAAGCGGTGGCTTGGGGAGCCCTGGCTGCATGGTTTTGGAGCAAAAGAGAGGGAGTTTGGTGGCTTAGTTCCTCCAGCTCCTGCATTGGGGGGGTCCTGGGGGTGCTCCTGCTCCCGAGGGGTGGGGGGGGTGCCTCAGGGGGCTTCACGCGCGCTGGTTCACACCCGCATGGGTGCAGAGGTGGGGATGTATGCAGGGGTTCACGTCTGCCCCGCGGTCCCTGTTGGGTGGCCGCGAGGAGGACACGATGGTGGGAGAGGTGTGGGATAAGAGCAGGAGAAGCCTTTGACACCCCCAACCCAGGTCTGGGGGGGGGGACAGGACAGGGTGGTCTGTGCGCGGGGAGGGAAAAGCAAAGAGCCCGTAAGGAGGAGCGCAGTGGGAAGAAGCCGTCCGCAGCCCCGGCTGGGGTTTCGCTTCCCCATCCTGGCCAGGCTCAGCGCAAACCTGCAACTCTGACCCTGCTGCTGCAAGCGGTACCGAAACCACAGCGGCTTTCTTTAAAACCTCTGGTTTCTGCTGGGGACATCACTCGCTGTGCAGCTTCAGTCTTTGCCCCAGCTTGGCCCCCATTACCACCCCGGGAACCGGGGATTATTGCCCTGCCTCTTGCCAAAGCAAGCACGGGGCTGAAGCAGCCTCGCCGAGGTGCTACTGGGAAGCTCCTTTTTGGCCCCCATTTGCAGAGCAGTTTGTTACCTCTGAGTTTTCCCTGGCAGCGGTGGGGGCCTGAGGGGCTCCAACTCCATCTCCCGGCTCGGCAGCGGCTCCCGCTCCCCGTCCCAGGCTCCCCCGGCGCTGGCCATGGCACCGCCGGGAATCGGCCTTGCACAACTCACTGCAACCCCGCTTGCAGGAGGATGTTCTTTCAAAACCGAACTTCTCGCAAGTCTAAAGGAAGCCGGAGGCTTGGCTTCGCTCCCTGGCAGCCCCCGGTGCTGCTCCGGGTCCATAGGCTGCCCACAGAGGCTCTCGTTGCAGCTGCAGTAATTGCATCGCTTTTGGTGCAACCTGTTGCAATGGGTTTGCTTCCCCTGAGCTGCTCGTGGAGGTCTTTGCACTCCTCCTCCCGAGCTGCTTTCTGGATGGCAGCTGCATTGAAAGGGGGGATTTCCACGGTAAACCCCGCTGCAAATTAGGTAATTAATTCCCTGCTCTCCAGGTTACTCTAGATGGATTGGCAAGGTGGAATTTTTTCTGTTTTCTTCAATGTTTTCTGCTGGGATTTCCTGCAGCCATTGCACAAGAGGAGCCCAGTGATTAGGAAACACTTTTTTTTTCCTCCCAGAGCTTTACAGGCACTGATGGAGCATGAAGCAACACAACTCAGCTGCTGGAAAAAAAAAAAAAAAAAAAAAAAAAATCCCCCCATCGGTGTCTGTTCCCTCTAGGATAAAGTTGCTTTTTAACACTCTAACCCCCCAAATATTTTAATATCTCCTCCCTTCTATTCAGTCTTTGAACTAATTAGTAAATAACTCACAGCACTCATTAGCAATTGGTCTGGGTGGGTGAGCACCTCTGCCGAGAGCTGTGGGAAGCCACCTTCAGGGATTTCTCCTGGGAGCACTGAGGCTGGGGCTGAGCAGGCTTTGGGGTACATGGATTTGCATGAAGCAAGTGGAAACATCCACTGTATTTTCACCATTTGCGCTGGACTGTGCAACCCCGGAGGTGGCACGGGCACCCGTGGGACCGGACACCTCTCCAGGGCTTTGGGCGGATGGTTTGGGGCTCGGTGGGTGCTCATGAGCCACCCGCTGCGAGGAGCCCGCCCTCCTCGGCGGTTTCCTCGCTGTGTATTTTGCAATCCGTATTTCCTAGCCAACACCAAGCAAGCCAGTAGGTTTGTGTCTGTTGGCCCGCAGCGCTTGCCGAGGGCTGTTTCTGCGGTGCCGAGGCCATATGCTAGAGCTGATAAAAATACGTGTTGGGTTTGAGTCATGTTTGAATCCGGCACTAGCTCGGGGAGGATGTGCAAGACTTTGGGAGATGATAACCTGCATCGGTACCCACACGCTCCTTCCCACGCTGCTGCCTGCTTTGCCGCTGGAGCTGCTCATCCCTGCGCCCCAGCCGGCCTGCAGCCCATCTCTGCCCAGCAGTGAGCTTTGGCTTTGTGGTGCTCCCTCAACACGTCATCTAGGGCTATAATGCTGTAAAAATAAAGAATATAAATGGAGCATTTAAGATTCAGCAGGATCCTGGGCTTATTGATGGTGTTCCGCGACGGGGTCAGTGTATGTATATGTCCCTCACCCCAGTAAGTCATTTATGTTAATGACTGTACTACAAACTGCTTTAAGCAACAGTAAATCTATTATTAGAAGCATCAATATTTTTCCCTAATGAGTAATGTTAACTTCAAGCTACACCAGAGACCATCAGGAATAAAAGTACAGAATTAATGCAATGAATGTGGCCCTACCAAGCTAGAGAGAGGTGGCATGAGCCCGGAGGAGCCCCACAGCGGGGTAGGCAGGAATTGCCTTTTGCAGAAATATTAGCTGCAAAATTCCTGATGCCTCCTATTATAATAAAGGAGACAATGCCACATTTAAAAGCAACTCAAGCCCTTAAAAAGGACTGTGATTTCATATTGCTAAGCCCTGCAGGACTAGTAAGCAAATGCTAATTTGCTTCTTCGAGCCACAAGTCACCCCTGAATCCATCGGTGGGTTCCTCTGCGTCTGCCAGGCTGATAAAGTGGCTGCAGGACACTGATGGCAATTGCAGTCTCTGGTCCAGGGGGTGCCAAGCCCTTTGCCCCCCTCCCCGAGCTACACAGGGGTGGGATTTGGGGAACTGATGCAGGGAAGTTTTACTTAGCCGAAATCTTTTTAATTTGTAAGGAAATTGGTTTCTCTTCCCAGCGGGAGATACGATCTTTAAAGGCACCCGCTGGAAAATTGCATTTTTCTAATTGGCTTTATTTTTTGGTGTTTTTTTTTTTTTTTTTTTCCCCAATTTATTCTCAATACATCACTGCTGTGGGGATGCACTGTGCCCAGCTCAGGGCAGGTCAGAGCAATACCTGTGGCACTGTCTGTGTGGGCACATGGACTGGGCACAGCGGGCACCAAAACCACCTGAGCCAGTTTCTTGGCAGCTTCGGTCCTGGCAACTCTCATCCCCCCAAAAGCTGCCGAAGGAGCGGGTGGGCTCAGCCCTGGCTCCCGCGGGTGTCCCCGAGGCCGTGATGGACCCAGTCCCTTCGGCACAGGCACGAGCTGTAACCCCGACCCTTAACCTCCTGGCTGCTCTTGTGCCATGCAATAATTTTTTTCATGCAGGAAACGAGAGAAAAACCTCGATTTCCTCTTTTACTCTCCTGACAGCTCTTGCCCCCGCTATGGGGGCTGCAGGAGGCCCAGGGTGCTGGGAGCACCCTGCTTATTTTGCAACCAGGGCTACCCTCCTTCGTGCCAGTGAGGCGGGTGCTGGGAGCCCCCCTGGGTTCCCCGGGGAATTTTGGGGTGCAGAGGCTGGGAAGCAGCCCAGGGCCCTTTTCTCCAGCAGATGGAGGCATTGCTTTGCTTCTACCACCCCACAGGCTCCCAGTCCCCATCCCAGTCCCATGCTGGGATAGCTGGGACTGGGGGTTGGCACGGGGGCAGGCCAGCCACTGAACCTGGAAGTAGGGAAATGGGGGGGGGGTTCAGGGAGGTGTAGCAGCCCCTTTGCTGGGGACACAAGGACAGATGGTGCCCAGCCAGCTGGGGAGACTGGGGACACCGGGCTGGCCGAGCACCTCATGGGGATGGCGATGGCAGCTCCGCCAAGGGCAGGGATGGCCTCGCATGGGGCAAGGGTGTCCCCTGGGGCTGGCGGGATGGGAAAGGGGACCGAGAGGGTCACTTCAGTCTTCCTTGGAAGACGGACAACCTCCCCCACCCCGTGCCACTGGCTCCTGCCCCTTGACCCTACTACAGTTCCCCTCTGTGCCTCAGTTTCCCCAACCACAGAGCTGCGGCACAGTGCCCAGTTTTCCAGTCTCATCAGAGGGGTTTGGCTGTGCGTGTGTATGTGCCCGTGTGTGCACACTCTTGTGTCTATGTGAATCCTTTCCACACTCCCCCAACCCTGATTTCCCTGCAAGCAGGAGGTGAGGTGCTGGCTTTGCACCCTTCAGCTTAATTGCATCCTTATAAACACTCTATTAATAATTAATAATAGATTAATAGCAGTGGCAGTTTGTTAACACGTGCGCATTAATCATTTATTAGTTATTAATATGGACTTCAGTACCCTCTGAAAGTTGGTTTAGCATTGTTTATTAAGGGTTTTGTGGGGCTGATGGTGGTGATGACCAGCTGACGGGCTGCAAATCCCAGCAGAACTTGGGGGGGTTAATGGGCATTAATGTCTGCCTGAACCCCGGGACTCCCTTGGGCTTGCACCAGGCTGGAGCAGGTCTGGAGAGCACAAAGGCACGAATCCTGCACATGGTGCAAGCAGCTCTGACTGCCCTTTCTGGGTCCTATCCAGCTCCATGCTTGCACTCAGCCCTGCTCAGGCTTTGTCCACTGATTTTGGCTTTTCTTATCTGAGGCACATGGAGAAGAAAAGGGGGAAAAAAAACCAAACAAGCCACAAAAGTCCCCCTTTTTTTTTTCTTCCCCCCCCCGCCCCGCAAATACATTTCACATGCTTGTTACATATAAAACTGTGCCGGGTCTCCACTGCCCAAACTTGCCTTTGCTCCCGGCTGCAAGGGTCCGTGCCCGACCCCCTCCCCACCCCTCCCACCCTCCCCCAGGCAAAAAACAAAACAAACCCAGACACCGAAGAAGGGCGTGCGGGTGAGGCCAGTGGGACCCCTGGTACGACACAGCATGCACGGCTCGGGGAGCGAGGGGGCATGCGAAGGGGCTGTGGGCAACGGCCAGACCCCCGGCAGGGGATGGATGGGGAGAGATGGACAGCATCCCACCCCAGGTTGGGGGCCAGATCCTGGCAGTGACCGGCTGCAGCCCAGGCAGGGGGGAGCAGCCCAGGGAGCACCTTGGAGAGGAGGGCTGGGTGCTGAGCACCCCCCCGGGCTCCTTCCCTCCTCTTCTCCCTTGGGGCTCAGCGGGCGGCTGGGAGGCACCCAACACCCATGGGTGCGAGAGCAGGATGGTGATGGCAGGACGGGGTGCAGGGGACGACCCGAGCAGCCGCTCTCACTTGTGCTCTGATGCAGAAAAGCTCACAGGGGGGCGCGGGGGCACAGCCCCGACCCCTCGGGAGCTCCTGCCGCCCGTGCAGCCCCGAAGACCCGTGGATGCCTGGCAGGAGATGGGCAGCTGCCTTCTCCAGCTCCGTGCCCAGCCTGACCGCCGCCAGCTGGAGAAGGGACATCCAGGTCGGGGGGATTTGCCCACAGGAATGGGGACAGAGGTGGGACCTGTGGCAACCCCTGAGGGTGCACATGGGAGGAGAAGAAAGAGGAGGAGGAAGTGATGGGCTCCCTGGCCCATCGTGGTCTCATCCAGGCTCTTCCCTTCCAGCTGAGCCAGCTCTGCTCCTTCTCCCACCCAAAAACCTACGTCCCCTGAGCCGAAGCCAGCGCTGCCCCAGGCAGGGGTAGGAGGTGAAGCCGGGAACCGTCCCCGCAGCAGCAGGGAGCGGAGCCCGGGGACACCGACCCACGGTCCTCAGCGCTGGAGGGTGCAGGATCCCGGTGATGCGATGGAGGTGCCAGCTGGAACCTTCTGCCGGTGTTTGCTTTTGCCATCAGTTCCCAAGCTGCTTGTTCCAAGCCTTTCTCTCCTCTTCTTTCCTGGGTTGTATGGCCTCCCTGCACAGGACGAGCCAGCTCCTGCTCTCCTGCAGACTTCAACTTTGCAAGCCAAAGAAAATAGACCCAAAAGTGCCTTTTGCACCTGTATGAATCCCGACCCCACACCCCTTCATTCCTGCCACTTGCCGGTGGCTTGGGCAGATGCAAAGATGGGGCCTTGCATCGCCCTGGCACTGCTCCTCCTGATGTTAATGACCTTGGCCTTATTTTGCCTTTTTTTCCCTTTTTTTTTCTTGCTGACATCTCCTCAGAGCCCGGCCTTGGGTGGGTTATTATTGCTTGTGCAGGAGCGTCCCCGGGCTCCTGCGTTTGCAGATGCCACGTCTTAAATCCGCCAATAGGAAGCTCTCAAGGCACGGCTGTGCCCAGGGAGGGTCTGGCTTTGCCAAGGGGCTGGGGGACACTCCCAGCTTGGCACAACCTGCCCCGATGCCCCAGTCCTGCATCGCCCCGGAAGACTTTTCTCTTGGAAATTCATTTAAAAAAAAAATTTGTTGGACCAAAAAAAACCCCAACAACCAGAAAAGAGAAGAACGATAAACAACCACCAGGAAAGTTTTCCAGAGAGTCTCTTAAAAAACAAAAGGGAAAGGGGGAAAAAAAAGAAAGCAGTTTTTTTTCCCAGGCCCAAACGCTGCTGACCTCTTGGCTAGAGAAATGCATAGTTGGTAGCAAATATGTCGGCTACATTGGGAGCCCCTGGAGCCGGGATGGCCCCTGAGCCATTGCACCCCGAGGGCTCACTGCGGGGCCGGGACAGCCGGGGTCATCGCGCCCCGACCCTGAGGTCCATGCGGTTCCAACTCTGCTGGTCCGCGGTGCCTCCGGCACGTCTCCGGCCGCATCCCAGCACAGCGAAGTCCTGCTGCCAGCCAGCCCCAGAATGTCGCTGGTGCTCCCACACCCCCCTCCCTCAGCCCCATCCCACCGCGGCCGTGCCCGGGGCCAGGCAGCAGACAACAGTTCTTCTCTGGGAGAGGCTCAGATCATCTTCATGTTGAACTTCCTGGCTCCTCCTTGGCCGGTGGTGGTGGTAGGACCGTCCACCTTGCGGAAGGAGTACTCCACCGAGAAGTTGTTCTTGTGCTGTCCCCGGCCCCGGCTCCAGACGAAGAGGAGGAGGAAGCAGAAGAGCACCACACCCAGGAAAGTGATGCAGCCCATGGCCGTGGAGACCAGGATGGTCTTGAGGTCCAACGTAAACTTCAAGAAGACTTGCGTGTCGTTGTGGGAGGTGTCGTTGAACTCGCTGAGGTACAAAGTTCGGTTCGCGTAGTGGGAGCCGTCGGCTGGCCGCCCCTTGACCGTCAGGGTGGCAAAGTAGGTGTCGTTGCCTCCCGCGTTGCTGGCGATGCAGATGTAGGTGCCACTGTCCTGCACCTGGGCGAAGCGGATCTCCAGGGTGCCCCCGGGCAGCACGGTCGCCCGCCCCGTGCTGCGGGTGGTGATCATGCGGTGCTGGGGGGACACCCAGGCGATGGAGGGGTCCGGCTCCCCATCCGCCCGGCAAAGGAAGGACACAGACTGCCCTTCCCGGGCCGTCACGTGCTGCAGCTTCCGATCCCTTATCTTGGGCTTCTGGCAGGTGAAGTACTCGAAGAGCACGGAGTCTGGGAAGTCGCGCAGGGCATTGCCCTGGATTTCGGGCGGCGAGGAGCACATGGGCTGCTGCCCGTCAAAGTTGAGCGTTTTCCGTCGCTGGAGGATCCAGAGGAGGCGGCAGTCGCAGGCCAGGGGGTTCCTGTCCACCCGCAGCGTCTCCAGCGTGTTGACGGAGTGGAAGGTGCTCTCCTCCAGTGTGGAGAGAAAGTTGCTGGAGAGGTTGAGCAGCCGGATTTGTCTCAGGCCGGAGAAAGCCTGCGGCTCCACGGACACCAAGAGAGCGCCCACGATGTGGAGCTCCTGGAGCCGGATGAGGTCTTTAAAGGAGCCCTTCAGCACAGTGCTAATGGGGTTGTAGGACAGGTTCAGGTAGCGGAGGTACACCAGGTTCCTCAAGGCAGCGGCGGGAACGGCTGTGATGTTGGTGTAGGTGATGGAGAGCGAGGTGAGGTTCAGGCCCTGGAAGCTGGTGGGGGAGACGTCTTCCAGCAGCGGCCAGTTGTCGATCTCCAGCTGCAGGAGGTTGTAGAGCTTCCTGAAGTTTTGGTCCTCCAGCGCAGAGATGCTGAGGTGCCGGAGCCGCAGCACCTCCAGGTTCTGGAGGTAGGAGAGCGACTCGGCCGAGATGGAGGTCAGGTTGCACTTCTCAATGGTCAGCTGCTCCAGGCCGAGCAGCCCCGAGAAGGCCCGTTGGGAGATGTACACCAAGTCGTTATCGCCCACCTCCAGGCTCTTCAGGTTTCGCAAATCCTGGAACATGTAGTCCAGCAGGATGACGAGTTTGTTCTCGCTGATGTCCAGGAGGGTGAGGTTGGTTAGCTTGGTGAAGACCCCCGGGGGGATGAGCTTAAGCTGGTTCCCCCGCAGCCGCAAAGTCTGCAGGTTGAACAGGTTGCTGAAGGCGCCCGGCTCCACATTGGAGATGATGTTCTCGCTGAAATCCAGCTCCTCCAGCAGTGGGTATGGGGAGAGGTCCCCCGGGTTCAGGCAGCGGATACGGTTCTTGTTGAGCTCCAGAATCTTGGTTTCGGTGGGGATGCCCTCGGGGATGGTGGTGAGCCGCTTGCGGTGACACACCACCGACTTGATCTGCGGGGCACACTCGCAGCGGGCAGGGCAGGCTGCCACCCGCGGGGGGCTCAGGAGGACCAGGTGGAGGACCAGGACCGGGAGCCAACATGTCATTGTGTAGAGCATGGTCTTATGGACTCACTACCATTCTCCCGTATGCCTGGAAGGGAGAGAGAGATGCGGAGTCAGCGGCGAGCCAGCGGGGAGGCTAACAAAGTCCTCCTCAGCCCCAGATCACCCGTCTGTGGGCTGAGGCTGGAAAACGCTCCCCAAACCATGGCTCATGGTGCTGACAAGGTCCCAGCCCTGCCAGGAAACCCTCCGAATCCCCTTCTCAGCCCCTAACGTGTGACCCGGTGACTGTGCCCTATGCAAACCTGGGCTAAACAAGCCTCACTGCCTGCATGCACCATTAGGAGAGCAGGGAAACTGAGGCAGGGGGAGATATTTGCCAAAGGAGACACAGCTGCAGACCCACATCTCAGCCTCTGCCTTCCTGCTGGCTCACACCCACTCCACACTGCTGACAGTGCACACACCGTAGGGGACAGTGAATGCAAGCATCCCAGGGTCATGGGGGACACAGACCCCCCCCAGAGCAGTGTAGGAGCAAAGAGATGCAGCCAGAGGCCTTGCAGACTCATGACACAGGTGGGACACCACATCCCCTCTGCTCCCTGTGCAGCTGCTGTGAGGTTTCATCCAGCAGCACAAATCCTTCCCAGGCCCTGGGCTCGGTGAGGTCCCGCAGGACAGGGAACACTCGGTGCTGCACGTAGGGACCGGTCCTCCCTTCCCCATCCCCAGCGTCACCCTCTCGGAGTGGAGATTAAGGCAGCTGCGGGAACAATCTTCGCAGATGAGGGATTAACGCCGACCTTGCGTGGCGCGGTGCCCCGGCTGCCCTCCTTTCCAGGGATTAGCACTTTGCCGCCGCTTTCCCTTTTCTCTGGTTCCCCTTCCCTGCTCCCTGTCCCTTTCTGTGCCCCAAATCTGCCAGGGTGCCACCATGCCTGGAAACGCACCTCCCAGCGCTGGTGCAAACTCCTCAGCCACCTTTCCCTAACGAAGCACTGTCATTAACCTAATTAAGTGGCAGAGCTGCTCAGTCGGAATGCTGCAGGGTGTTTCTGGGCCCAGCGAAGGAACGCAGGCAATTTGGGGGGTACCGAGAGCAGACCCAGCTCCTCCAGCCACCCCTGCGGAGGTGCAGCGAGCGGGGCAGGTCTCAGCCCTGTGCTGGGGGCAAAAGGCCCAAAGAGAAAATATCCCAAATGAGCTGACTGATGTGACCTGAAGTGGTTCAACATCTCTTGGGGTTCTGTCCTCACCTCGGGTCCCCAAAGCAGTGTGGGGGCGAGAGCCTGGGCAGAGCATCACCACCAGTGCCACAGCAGGGTGCCCACCAAAGCAATGCGGGAGCACCAGCCTGGCATGCCTACCTCCACGGGAAGATGCCCACCACATCCCGGCAGCCCCCTCTTCCTTTTCATCCTCCTCCTCTTCCACCTCCAACTCTTCCACCTCCTTGCTGCCAGGATTTATTTGCTTTGTGCCTTCCCAGGTGTCTCCTGGCCACTGCACCTCATGGGCAGGAGGCAGGAGCATCCCTCTCCCCATCTGCTCTCTATCAACAGCATTTATCTGCGCTCCGGCTGCCCTCGCCGTGCCAGCCTTGCTTCTCATGCGAAACCTGCCTGTCCATGGGACATCTCCATTTGCACAGACTCAGTCCCCTGCCTTTGCCGTTTTCCAAATTTTCAGCAGCCCAGCATGCCCATACTGATGGTTTGAAGGGGCAGAGGGGCACCGACCCCTCCAGCACAGGGGGCCATGATCCATCACCCTCATAGCACTGCGACAAACCGGTGAGAGCACTGGGACAAACTGGTGTGCGGTACCTGAGGAGCAGCCAGGCTGGCTCCAGCCCTTCTGCCCTTGGGGAAGCCCAAACCGTGGCTCTGGGAGCGCTGGACCTTGCTTCGGGGTTTTTTTGCCCAAGCCCCGCAGGCACACTCCCTTCTGTCCCTCTGGGTGCGTTGGGGACCCCAGATGCGGCCACCAGAGCCCAGCAGGACATGGGGAGAGGGGATGGGAGGATGCGACGTTTGTGGCTGCTCAAGCCTATTGCGGTGTTGCTGCACATTCAAGCCCATCTCGGTGCCACCTCGTTGCCCAAAAGCTTCTGGAAAGGCCAAACTTCAGGTGGCTGGTGCTTGGTTTAGGGGGTGATGGAGGGAGAAAGGAGGAGCTTCTGCTCGTCACCAGGAGAGATGGTGGGAGCTGTCGGGGCAGGCTCGCAGCAGGGAGAGAACGAGCCATGGGGACCCCAGACCCCCCGGAGAGGTGACACTGATGGAGCAGGGATAGCAGGAGCTGGCCCATCCCAGCTCTTCTGCCCAGCATCTCCTGTACCGCACGGCCACCGTGCTGACAAAGGACACCAAAGGCCCGCGTCACCCTCCCTCCTGTCCCCCAGGGGCTGGCGGCATGTGGGAATGGCCTCGGGGGGCCCGGGGGGGCTCCTGACCCTCTCTATGCCCACGCTGCAGGGAAGGATGCAATCTCCACGGATAACTTCCCGCCCTGATCCTATTACCCAAGCTGAGCAATTCTCTGGCAATAAACCCATTGCTCGGTGCAATTTAAGAGCCGCAGGAGATTATCTTTCACAGACCCTTTTTTTTTTTTTTTTGGTGCGTGTCTTAATTTTGCCACATTTCCTTTTTTCTCCCAACGAATCAAACAGGGAGGGAAGCATTATCATCTTTCACACAGCCGCAGGGAGGGGATTAACAGCTGGCCGGGATGTAGCATTGGCTTTTTTTTTGGCCGAGGACAGCGGGGTGAGACCAGAGACCCCACTGCTGCCCCCACCAAGCATCCCAGCCCCTTCCTCCCCCCTTGCCACCCACGCAGCCCCTCTCTCCAACATTGCTCAGGCATCACCCATTGCACCGAAACCCCTGTGTCCAGCGGCTGGGGGTCCCCAAATGCCACCTGGGCACCGGAGCGGGGATACAGCTGGAGCTGCTTGGCAGCCTCTGCTTTCAAGGAGGCTGCTCCCAGCCGTGTCCAGAGCCATTTTGCGATCGGCTCTGCCTGGCTGGTGGCCTCAGGAACCCGAGCTGGCTCTGGGGTGAGGCGGGGACAGCTTTGCTTGGTCCCCCCCCCCGGTTCAGAACGCTCCACTCCTGCTCTGCCACGGAGCTGGATGGGAAGGATGCACCCAGGCACGACCTGCAATCCCACAAGAAAAAAAAAAAAAACCCTCCCAATTAATTGTGACACTTATTTTATTTAGCGTCTCTATGCTAAATAAATATGCCCAGGCACCGCTGCCAGGCTAATGGTCTCCCACCCTTGGCTGTAACCTGTGCCCACCATTACCTCCCTGCCAGGGGCTGGGGGGATCTGGCCCCTTCCCCTCCCCTGCCCACGGCCGCTGCGCCGAGGCAGCCCGCGAGCATGCCAGCTCTCTGCCGTGTTCATTATGAATGAGCCCGGGGTAACCGTACTCCACTTTTGGTTACTACTTCAGCCACCTGATCCTCTAAGCAAAGGTACGATCCCACTGGCGTTGTTTTACCCGGCAGCCGGGGAGCGGGAGCTGCAGCCCCCGGCTCTCCTTCCCCCTCCGCAGCCAGCGCTGAGCATCGGCTGCCCCACAGCCCCCACCCATGGGTGCCCCAGTGGAACTGGGCACGGCCCCGACACCCTCAGCAAACCCCATGGCGGGGAATTAATGGGTGCCGGCCGAGCCCCCTCCCAGCAAACCCAGGCAGATACGAGCTCCGGAGCAAGGAGCTGAGGTGGGCTCTGCCCCCGCGGGTCTCTGCCGGCTCCAGGACATCCCACAGAAGCCACCCCAGCTGCAGAGATCCTGGGTCCCCTGCTGTGACAACCGGGGCCCCACGGTCCCCATCCAGCCCGGGCAGAGCCGAGCACGGAGCCGAGCAGCGGCGTTTATTAATAGCTCATTACTCTGATAGCGCAGCGTTCTCTGGGGCTCGCCTGGCCCCTGGGGAGCGCGGCCAATTAAGACTCTACTTGAAGGCCTAGATAGAGGCTCTTCTTCGTGTTTAATTTATTTTTAAAAATAACACGCCTCCTGCATGCAGCGTGGGGGAACGGAGCCAGGAAAGCCCGAGGCTGAGGGGCTGCAGCACGGCCGGGGGAAGCAGAGCAGAGCAGAGCAGACCACCTTTGGCCACCTCTGAGCCCCCAGGAGCAGCCCCTTCCTTCCCTCCCTCCCCACCAGGACGTGTGGCCACCGAGCCCATTTTGTCCCAGCCGCTGGCAGCGGTCAGAGCGCGGAGGAACCGGTGCTCTCCAACCACCCGGCTCTCAGATGCTCAGCCACTGACCGACCCGACTTGCAGGTGGGTTTTCGCTGCCTCGCATCACCACTTCTTGGAGAACAGGAGGTGGCAAGGTCTCTTCCACCCCTTTTGAATGGCTCCTGCTTTGGTGCCACACTCTTGGCACAGTCAGCTGCTCTGAGAGCAATTGCTCCTCTGCTGCCATTTCTCCCCTTTTCTGAATAAAGACCAGAAAATAAGCCAAGGTTGTTATTTCTAGGTTCCCCTGGTTTGACATCGTGCAAGTTCAAATACTTCGGCCAAAGCAATGGCTTCTTTTATTCATCCACTGACTTGCAGGATGCAAAATGGTCCTGCTGAGAGCTTCTCCTTCAAGAACTCCACTGCTGCTGCTCGAGTCCAAGCCCGTGTTATCCCTCCTTCATGGGTTCTGCCCGGGGAGGCCAGGAGCACCCAGGGGAGGTTACGTGCTTGGGATACGGGATGCTGCTCCACTTTTCCAGGGGATGCAGGGGACCCCAGGGGAGGGTGGAGACCCCCAGGTAGCGGGGGAGCAAACGGGACAGAAAGTGATGCTGGGACCCCCATGCATTTTGGAAAGGCTCATCCTTAAAAAACTGACAATATAATATAAGGGTAATATCAGCGCCCCGACGCACAGGTGACAGGGAGGTGCCGGTGCCAGCGCGTCCCAAACTTGGCACGAGACAGGAGAGGGCTCCGACAAACACCAACGGCAGCCAAACGCTGCTGGAAACACCCTGAGCGATGCCGGTTCGCTGCTGCCCGCCCGAAAACCGGCAG